AGTTGTTTGTTGCGAACCGAACGTGGGTGTTCCGCAAAGTGGTCCCCGAGCCTCCGCTTGGTTTCCCCGATGTAGAGGCCACATCTGGAACAGCGGATACAGTATACCACATTAGCAGATGTGCAGGTGAACATCTGCTTGATGTGGAAGGTCTTCTTGGGGCCTGGGATGGGGGTGAGGGGGGAGGTGTAGGGGCAGGTGTAGCACTTCCTGCATTTGCAGGGAAAAGTGCCAGGTGTGGTGGGACTGGAGGGGAGTGTGGAACGGACAAGGGAGTCACAGAGAGAGTGGTCCCTCCAGAAAGCAGATAAGGGTGTGGAGGGAAAAATGTCTTTGGTGGTGGGGTCGGATTGCAGATGGCGGAAGTGTCGGAGGATGATGCGTTGGATCCGGAGGTTGGTGGGGTGGTACGTGAAGATGAGGGGGATTCTGTTTTGGTTGTTATTGTGGGGAGGGGGTGTGAGGGATGAGTTGCGGGAAATGCGGGAGACACGGTCAAGGACGTTCTAGACCACTGAGGGGGGGTAAGTTGCGGTCCTTGAGAAACGAGGACATCTGAGATGTACGGGAATGGAATGCCGCATCCTGGGAGCAGATGTGGTGGAGGCGAAGGAATTGGGAATAGGGGATGGCATTTTTGCAGGAAGGTGGGTGGGAGGAGGTGTATTCTAGGTAGCTGTGGAAGTCGGTAGGCTTGAAATGGCTATCGGTTTCCAGGTGGTTGCAAGAGATGGAAATATAGAGGTCCACGAAGGAGAGAGAGGTTTGCAGATGACAATTTTTGTCTCCTTCTCTGAGGAAGGATGTTCTTGCTACAGAGGGAGTGTAATGTAGGTTTCCCAGACTGACTCCTGGGATGACAAGATTGTTATATGAGGAGAGATTAAGTCGGTTAGGATTATATTCACTGGAGTTTAGAAGAATGGGAGGAGGGATGGGATCTCATAGATACCTATAAAATTCTAAAAATTCCAACAGGACTCGGATGATGGAATGGAGTTTGCACATTCTCCCTGTGATTTCAGGGGTTTCTTCTGAGTACTCTGGTTTTCTCCCACAGGCCAAAGACGTGCTGGTTAGGTGGATTAGCCATGCTAAGTTGCCCCGTTGTGGGAAGGTTAGATGGATTAGTCATGGGAAATGCAGGGTTACAGGGATAGGCCATTGGGGTGGGATGCTCTTTGGAGGGCTGGTGTGGACTCGATGGGCCAAATGGCCTGCTTCCACACTGTAGGGATTCTATAATTCTGTGACTAGACACTTAGGTGCTGGAAGGATGTTCCCAATGGTGCCAGAACCCAGGGGGTCAAAGTTTCAGGATAAGGGGTAAGCCTTTCAGGACTGAGATGTGGAAACATTTCTTCACCCAGAGAGTGGGAAGCCTGTGGAATTCACTGCCACAGAAAGCGGTTGAGGCTAAAACATTATGTGTTTTCAAGAAAACAGGTAGATATAGCCCTTCTGGCTAAAGAGTTCAAGGGATGTTGGGGGACAGTGGGATTACGCTATTGAGCTAGATGATCAACCGTGATCATATTGAATTGCAGAGCAGACTTGAGGGATCAAATGGCCTACTCCTGCTCTTATCTTCTATGTTTCTGTCTATGGGTGTGGGATTAATGGGATATAGTTTTGATTCCTAGCTTAAATGCTAATCTGTTATTGTCACTAGCTCGAAGAATAAATTTTGCTCAGAATAATTTTTTTTGTTGTTCCTTGAAGTAATCTGTAAAGTGATGGAAGGGGTCATCAACAGTGCTATCAAGCAGCAATTGCCCAACAATAACCTGTTCACTGAAGCACAGTTTGGGTGCTGCCAAGGACACGCAGCTCCTGACCTTATTACAGCCTTGGTTCAAACATGGACAAAAGAGCTGAATTCCAGAAATAAGGTGAGAGTGACAGCCCTTGACAATGAGGCTGCATTTTACCAAGTGTGGCATCAAGGAGCCCTACCAAAACTAAGCCAAAGGGAATCAGGGGAAAAGTCTCCGCTGGTTGGAGTATACCGGGTACATAGGAAGATGGTTGTGGGTGTAGGAGGTCCGTCATCTCAGCTCCAGGACATCTCTGCAGGAGTTTCTCAGTGTAGTGTCCTAGGCCAAACCATCTTCAGCTGCTTCATCAATGACCTTTCCTCCATGTTAAGGTAAGAAGTGGGAATGTTCGCCAATGATTGCACAATGTTCAGCATGATTCACAACTCCTCAGATACTGAAGCAACTTATGTCCAAATGCAACAAGGCCTGGACAATATCCAGGCTTAGTGTGAAAAGTGACAAGTAACATCTGTGCCACGCAAATGTCAGGCAATGACCATCGCTGATAAGAGATAATCTAACCATCTCCCCTACTCATTCAGTGGTGTTACCATCATTAAATCACCACTATCAACATTATGGGGGTTTACTATTGACCAGAAACTCTAGCCATAAAAGTACAGTGGCTACAAGAGCACAAAGTAGGAATACTATAGAAGATAACTCGCCTCCTGCCTCCTCAAAGTCTGTCTACCATATATAAGGCACATATTAGGTGCATGATGGAATACTCCCTACTTGACTGGATGATTGCAGCTCCAATAACATGCAAGAAGTTTGACACCATCCTGGACAAGCAGCCCTCTTGATGTGTATTACATCCACAAGCATCGACTCCCTCCACCACCGACGCTCAGTAGCAGCAGTGTGTATTATCAACAAGATGAACTGCAGAAATTCACCAAAGATCCTTAAACAGTATCTTCCAAACCCACAACCACTTCCATCTAGAAAGAGAGGGCAGCAGATACATGGGAACACCACAAGGTGCAAAATCCCCTCTGAGCCATCCTGACTTGGAAATATATCGCCTTCACTATCACTGGGTCAATATCCTGGAATTCCCTCCCTAAGGGCATTGTGGGTCTACCTACAACATAATGGACTGCAGCAGTTCAAATAAAAAGCTCACCACCACTTTCTCAAGGGCATCTAGGAACAGGCAATAAATGTTAGCCAGCCAATAATGTCCATGTCCCATGAATGAATTAAATAGAGGAACGTGGTAGAAATTTATTTTTGATAGTAGTAATAAAGAAGTAATTGGCCATTTTGGTTACTGAGTCAACAAATTTACACTAATGGTGTGACTGGTGGAACAGTGAGATTTGATTATTAGTGCATTCTTCTCATTAGAGTCTTAATAACAGAAATAGGCCATTGAGACACATAAACTTATTCCCATGTAAAATTATACTGTGAGTGATCTGTCCCTCAACTTCACTTGCTGCCTTAGTTCCATACCTTTTGATGCCCTGAGCCAACAAAACTCCAGCAATCGCAATCTGAATCCATTGTTGAATCGACCTCTGTCACATATGGTTAAACGGACTTTGTCCAAATCCATATCAACAGCAGAGTGTAAACATGTAACATTGTCGAGAGTACAGTTCAAGGGAGTATGAGTCAGCAATAGGTGTCACAGATATGTACCCTTCTAGAGCAGAAAATAAAATAGGACTGGATACAGAATGAACAGCTCAGTTAGTGTCATCTGTTTTATACTTATCTCTCAAAGTTAAAGCCATTAATAAATACTAGGGCAGCTGGATCTTTACTGCCCATTGATAATGTCCCTCAGAAAGTGATAATTTCTCTTTGAAGCATTACTGTTCTCTTGGTGATGGTGTCCCCAAAATGGTGTTTGCTGGGATTTTGAGTCATTCATAATGAACTAACAGCAACTTCTGTCCAAGGAGGATGTGATATTTAAAGAATTTGGAATTGTTGATGTTTCCAATGATCCTGCTGCTCTTATGCAGATGTTACAAAGGGGGAAGGGATTGCTACAACTAACATTGGCGAATGCATCCTATAGAGCAGGTACAGTACAGAATTGCTGCATAGGCTGGATATTGAGTGGAGTGACAACAGCAATGGCAATCCTGTCTTACCCTGGATGGTGGTAGTACTGTGGGTATTGTGGCAGTTTGAATCATCCAAGGAAGCAATGTGCCTACTATCACATTCCTCTCTGGAGTTTTATAGATACTGGAGTGGGAGGTCAAGACATCAGCTTCTTATCATCTGATTGGCTTGTCCATATCAATCTCTAGCTAGCGATGTCACCTACCCTCCTGACTGACCAGAATGTTGATAGAATGGGACCTGGTGATGGTGCTGACATTTCTGGTTAGCATGAGTAGATTTGCCTTTACCTGTTGAAAATAGACTTTGCCTGTACATATGTGGTAGAAAGCAGGTCTTGTGATTAAGTGGCAGTGTCCCTGCCTCCAAGTCAGAAGCTCATGGTTCAGGTCTCACTCCAGACTAGATGACTAAGGAATGAGTATTCATACTGTAGCTGAAAAGGATGACTATTGACTTGGAAATCCTTCCAATATTTGACCATATTGGCTGGTAGGAGTGAGAGACACTTCAGGTTAGCCATGTGGTTTCCCACATTCATAAGAAAGAAAGAATTGGGACTCTACCACCACCATCTATATCTCCATATGCATATAAAAGTGCATGTTGCCACAGCAAGAAATTCTATGATTCCATGATCCTTGGAGGAATCAGTCAGCTGGATAGCCAGAATGGGTCAGATTGGTGACAACAGCATGCAGGTCAAACCCTGTAATGGCCAGGCTGGATTCAGTGAATAACTAAATCTAAAAGGTTTGTTCAGCATCAATCATAACTGAGTAATTGTTTTATTTTGGTTGCATTTAGGTTAGTTTTTGGATCAGAACATGAGGGATATGTTAGGAAATGGTCAATCAAATCACGTTTCGTATAGAGACTGACAGAGAAATACATCTTTGAGAAATGTCAGCAGAATTGGGAGCTCCTTAAAGAACAAACCACATATAAAGTACTCAGATAATCTGAAATAAATCATAGGACAGTTATAAATATGAATCAACCTGCGTGATAAAACAGACAAATCAAATTTTCTGATGAAGGGTCTAGGCCCGAAACGTCAGCTTTCCTACTCCTCTGATGCTGCTTGGCCTGCTGTGTTCATCCAGCTCTACACCTTGTTATCTCAGATTTTCCAGCATCTGCAGTTCTTACTATCTCTCCAAATCAAATTTTCTTCCTAGCCAAACAGGGTTAATTTCCGTATTCATGGTGATCTACCCACAGAAAGTTTCATAAAGGTTAAGGATGTTAATAATGCAAATCAACTAAATTATTTTTCTCCTATAGTACTCCATACACCACTGCTATCTCTGTACCATAACTTGGGTCTACAGAGACTTTCTAGGGAGTCCACTGGGGGAGTTGCAAAGAAAGAACAATCCTGGCTTCTCTAAAGAAGGTAAGGTCAGGAGCAAATTTGATAGAGGAGTTACAAACTGTTGCCCGTCTCTGAGAGACAATAATACATACATAGACAAAGATATGGTGGAGACTCTTAGAACTGTATAAAACCACAATTCATTTATTAAGTACTTAAACGAATAATACACACTTTTAACTACTAGATATCTCAATTACTGTCAGATTACCCCGATTTCTGTAGCTAAACTCAAAAGTTATTAACTGGGAGAGTTTGCAGCTGGCCAGGCTGAAAACTCTGTTCGACATCTTCAGCACGCCTCCTGATGTCAGGTACCTTCTTACACAACCTTAATCTTCAAAGTGTTGTTGAACAAAGGGATTTCTTCAGGCTGAGGTTGTTGACTTGCTCACCAAGCTGGCTTATTTTTGTTCAGACGTTTCATCACCATCAGTAGAGCCTCCGATGAAGCGATGTTATTCTACTCCACTTGGAATTTATACTGTCCAGTCCGTTATGGTGAGTACTGTCATTTCCGGTTTTGATCTGGTTTGTGATACCTATCGGAACTGACAACAAGACTCCTAAGACCACTAGGAATCATGGTGGCTCACAAGCCCACAGCCATGCTACAACAAACACTTACAAGGATTAAAGACTCCGTTCCCACAACATGCAGAACGAGCGTGGTTTACAAAATACCATGTAATGACTGCCACAAACATTACATCGGACAGACAGGAAGGAAACTAGCCATCAGAATACACAAACATCAGCTAGCGGCAAAATGACATGACGAACGTTCCCTAATATCAGTACACTCAGACAATGAAGGCCATCAGTTTAACTGGGACAAGTTAACCATAGTAGCCCAAGCCAAACATAGGCCGCATGGGAATTCCTAGAGGCATGGTTTTCCACCCATAATGCAATCAACAAACATACAGAACTGGACCCCATATACAATCCCATACAGAACAAAACCAGAAATGACACTACTCACCATAACAGACTAGACAGTATAAATTCCAAGCAGAGTAGAATAACATCACTTCATCGAAGGCTCCACTGATGATGTCACCTAGCATGGTGCCAAAACATCTGAACAAAAACAAGCCAGCTCGGTGAGCAAGTCAACAACCTCACCTGCAACTCGAACCATAGGTCTTTGCCAAAACTTTAAATTTCTTCAGGCTTTTTATACATAATTCTCCATGCCAAGCATGTGCTTTATTTGGAATTGTGCACGCATGTGACCAATCCTGAACATTTTTTCCAAATGCATGTCCTCTTTGGACTTATCCATGCACATAAGCAATCCTGAATGTTTTGTCCAGATATATGTGTTATCCGGTAGAAACAGTAGTTCCTGGTTTCCTGCAGTTTTATCTCTTAGCAGGTCTGACTGACTCAACATAATCCCATTCACATAGCAGCCTATTGTTAGGACTCTTATCAGTTCCTGTCAGTTTCTGTTATCTTCCTATTATTTTCAGCCTTATCCAACAAAATCATGAGGGGAATGGACAGAACCAATAGGCAGAAACTGTTGCCATTGGAAAGGAGGCGAAAGCCAGAGGACCATGATTTGGTGAGTGGCAAAAAACATAAAGGCAATATGGGGGAAAATCCTTTTTTTACTGTAATGCACAGTTCAGATCTGGAACGTCAGCACCTCATATAATCCCTAAAGTGTGGAAACAGGTCATTCGGCCCAACAAGTCCACACCAACCTTCACAGCATCCCACCTAAACCCATCCCCCTGTAGCCCACCTAACTTACACGTCCCTAAATGCTACAGGCAGTTTAGCATGGCCCCAATCCACCTGGCCTGCACATCTTTGGACTGTGGGAGGAAACAGGAGCACCCGGAGGAAACCCACGCAGACACAAGGAGAACATGCAAACTCCACACAGACAGTCGCCCAAGGTTGGAATTGAACCTGGTCCCTGGTGCTGTGAGGCAGCAGTGTTAGCGACTGCGCCACCCCTGTAGAGGGAAAACAGAGTTAACATTCTGACAAAGGGTGACTGGACTCGAAACGTTAACTCTGTTTTCTCTCCACAGATACTACCATACCTGTTGTGGTTCTCCAGGACACTCTGTTTTTGTTTCAGATTTCCACAGTTCTTTTTTTTATTTTAGGATCTGGAATGCATTACCTGTGGTGGAGGCAGATTCAGTCATGGTTTTCAAAAAAGGATTTGGATAATTATCACAAAAGTACAAATTTGCAGCGTTATGGGGAAAAATAGGTGGACCGGGACTAGCAGAGTTGTCTCACAGGAGATTTTAGGGATACAATGAGCCTGCATGACACTTGAGCATGGCAACTCTGTGTGAGCTGTCTGCAACAGATCTTATTGTTGCATATCTTATAATCGTTCTGCTCTTCTAAACTTCAATTCTAAGTCAATCAGAATTACTAACAACGTTCTCTGAAATCTATTCACAGTTTTGAAGATTCTCCAACTGACAAGGCTCAATTATCGATGGTGGAGGCAAGCCCAGAGGGATCAGGGGCCTTCCAGCCTCTCACAGGCCTGACCTCTCCAAGCTTGTGGAAACCCAGAACCGAGGCCCAACCAGCGTGGGAACAAGACTCGACCCCACAGTGACCTGACATCGAGAAGGCCCGAAACAACCACAAGACCCACCCACCCACACCCTGGAATGCTCAAGGCTGTGACTGGTGTCCAAGACCCCATTGGATGCACCCACCTACCTCTTGGAGCAACTCCAGGATTGACTAGGAGCTGCCATGTACCCAGGAAATGTGGAAAACATGCTGGACTTAAAGTGAAACTGAAACTTTGGGGTTTCCATTCCCCCCTCCCCAGCATACCCCTGGCAAATGTCTAATCGACTGAAAACAAGATGGATGACCCCAAAGCTAGACTTAAGTACACTGCTGTGTGCTCTATTTCACAGAGACATGGCTCACTGTTGCTATATCGGACTGTGCCTTACAAACTGAATGTTTGTCAGTTCATCGAATGGACCACACAGCATCTGCAGGCAAGCCAAGGGGCAGTGAGGTCTGCATCTTAATCAACACCTCCTGGTGCTCAGATGTGGTGACCCTGGCAAGTTACTGCTCCCCAGATCTAGAATATCTTACAGTAAAGTGACATCTCCACTACCTGCCACGCGGGTTCACCTCCGCAATCCTGACAGCAGTCTACGTCCCACGCCATGAGGAAGTGAAGAGTCCAATCGATGAAGTATTAAACACCACAAACGGGCTTGAGACACAATAACCCGAGGCCTGTTTGTTGTAGCTGGTGACTTCAACCAGGTCAACCTCAAAAATGTGCTACCCAAAATACCATCGACAAGTCACCTGTCCCACCAAAGGTCCAAACATCCTTGACCATTTCTATGCAACCATCAAAGATGCCTACCGTTCCATCCTCAATCTGCATTTTGGAAAATCAAAGCACAGCACTTTGCTCTCCTTCTTGGCTCACAAGCAGAAATTGAAGTGCGAGGACCCGGTATAGAAAGTAGTGCACTGTTGGTTAGAGGAAACTAAAAGGGCTTCTACAGACTGCTTAGAATCGGAGGACCGGTCCAAATGCGAGAACTTAGTGGCCAACTTAAACAAGTATGCCACTACCGCCATAGACTTCAGTAGTAGATGACTTTGTGCTGAAGAAGTTAATCCAAATGTTCCCCAACCGGAAATCATGGATGAACTGGGAGATACACTCCTTACTGAAGTCTAGGTCTGAGGCATTTAAGTTGGGTGACCCTGATCTACACAGGAAATCCAGCTACAACCTTTGTAAGGCCATCAGAGATGCCAAGAGGCAATACCCAACTAAGCTTGAGACCCAGACAAACCACATGGACACCTGTCATTTGTGGCAAGGCTTACAGCACATAACGGGCTACAAACGAGGTCAAACAGAATCACAGGCATCAATATATCTCTTCCCGATAAGCTCAATGCATTCGACGCTTGCTTTGATCAGAAGGTCAATGACACAATGTCACCTATCCCAATAGTCTTGGATGCGCCTGTATCCATGGTCATTGCCACAGACATTAGAATGACCTTCTTCAGAGTGAACCCACAGAAAGCAACCGGCCTGGATGGAGTCCACAGCTCTGCACTCAGATCCTGTGGATCTGTGGAAGTAATCGCAGACATCTTTAACCTCTCCTTGCTGCATCTGAAGTCCTCACCATCAACCCAGTGCAAAAGAAAAATCATTCAGCATGCCTCAATGACTACAACTGGCATTATGATCTGATTTTCTAAAATATGGATGGGGAGAGGTGGAGTGGTAGGCATCTTTGAAGATTGTATAACAGTGGTCAAGGATGTTCAGACCTCTGGTGGGACAGGAGACGTATTAATGGTATTTTGGTAGCACGTTCTTGGTTGGCCTAGTTGAAGCTACCAGCTACAAATGAACAAGGCCTCGGTGGCTCTGATCTCCATAATTATGAAGTGCTTCGAGAGGTTAGTCATGGCTCACATCAACTCCAGATCGCCTTGATCCTTTGCAATTTGCCTACCGGCCCAACAGGTCCACAGCAGACGCCATCTCCCCAGCCCTACACTCATTCCTGGAATCTCTGGACAACACGGATACCCACGTCAAGCCTCTTCTGATTGAAGGCAGAGCTGTAGTCAACACCATAATTCCAAACAAACTCATCTCCAAACTCAGAGACCAAGGTCTCAGCTTCCCCCTCTGTAACTGGATCCTCAACTTCCTGTAAGGATAGGTGACAGCACCTCCTGCACGATAATCTTAACAACGGTGCCCCACAACCCAGCCCCCTACTGTACTCCTTATACACTTATGACTGCGTGGCCAAATTCTACTGCAACTCTATTTACAAGTTTCCGATGAAACCATCGTTGGAGGTCGAATCTGAAACAAATGACAAGACTGAGTACAGGAGAGAGGTGGAGTGCTTAGCAGCATGGTATAAAGACAATAATCTCTCCATCAATGTCAGCAAAACGAAGGAGCTGGTCATTGACTTCAGGAAGCAGAGTGGAGAGTATGCCCCTGTCTGTATCAATGATGCTGAGGTGAAGATGGTCAAGAACGTCAAGTTCCTGGGAGTGATCATCGCAACAATTTGTCCTGGTCCGCCTACATCAATGCAAAGGTCAAGAAAGTACAACAATGCCTCTACTTCCTCAGGAGGCTAAGGAAATTCGGCATGCCCATAAAACCTTTTACAAATTTTTATAGATGCACTATAGAAAGCATCCTACCTGGGTGCATCACAGCGTGGTATTGCAACTGCTCTTTCTAAGACTGCAAGAAACTACAGAAAGTTGTGAACAAAGCCCAATCCATCACGCCAACCAGCCTTCCATCTATTGACTTCATCTATATTTCCCGCTGCTTCAGGAAAGCAATTCACATTACCAAAAATCCTTCCAACTCCAATTACACTCTCTTCCATCTTCTTCTGTAGGGAAGAAGATATAAAAGTTTGAATACATGTACAAACAGATTCACAAACAGCTTCTTCCCCATTTTTATCAGACTTTTGAACAGACCTCTTAAACGTTAATTCTGACCTCTCTCCTTGAACCTTGTCTGTGGCTGTAACACTGTATTCTGTTCTGTCATCCTGATACACTTTGTAGATCTGTTTGTAGAGCACAAAAAAAAACACTTTCAGTGTACCTTGGGTGCATGTGATAGCAATAAATCAAATCAACGAGCCAAATGGTCATCTCTGTGCTGTAACCATTTTATGATTCAACGATATGATCAAACTCCCGGAGTGCCGTGGTCAAGAGAGTAAACAGCAATCAGAGGTGTCTTCTGTGTTCTCCTTGCCTTCCCCCTGTGCTCTTCTGGAGCTTTCTGCATGTTCTGTTCTCCCCCGGGCTCTTGCTTTCTCCAGGCTGCTGCCAAAGACAGACAGACTTCGCAGTGAAAGGCAGCCACACCCATTTAACTGATGGCTGTGGGTAAACAATTCTTTTAAAAGCATTATTGAAAATAAGAACCTATTTGCATGCAACATTTTCATATTTTGAGCATTATCAAATACCATAACTTGGCCGGGCTGTTCGTTATGCCAAATCAAAATGGAAAGAGGTCCTTCATTCAAAACAACTGAGAGGCAATAGTGTCTCAGAGCCTGTGTTACAAATGATAGTGCAAGAGAGACGAGAGATTCGTGCTCATCAACAATTCTCTAGCGATTTAGAATTGATACTCTGCTATAATTATATACTAGATATTCCAAAATATCATTCAGAAAATTTATTTTCCTACTAACCTGTTGACTCCAATGATTCCCTAGTGTGAGCTGTAACTAAGACAGCAGTGTTTTTTGCCTCTGCGTCAGAAAGTTGTGAGTTCAAGTCCCACTCCAGGACAGTAATGAGGAAGCTGCCACCTTTTGGATGAAATATTGAACACAAGTGGATAGAAATGATCCCATGATGTCATTTTAAGGAAGAGTCAATGTGTTCTGGCCAATCCCTCAATCAACATGGCAGAAACATATTAACTGCTCACAATTGCTTTGCTGTTTGTGAGCCTTTTTGGTGCACAGAATTGGCTGCTGCAATTCCTACTTCTCAACAGTGGTTCCAATCCTGGAAACGAGCACTCAGGAAGTAGGTGGACAAAGCAGTGGGCAATAGAAATGAGAATGCGCCAGGAGGATAAAAAACATCAGTCAAATTTCAGATCAGTACCTGACATCTGTGTCAGCTGTGAAAGAGACTACTACTTACAAATCCGCCTTTACAGCAGCAACAAACAGTGTACGATACAAAAGTGGCATACCCAAGATGCAGTCTGTCATCTCCAAAGGTGTACGGCCACTATCATAATAATGACAACACATCAACATTACTTATTTGGCTGGAAAGCATTTTGAGATGATCTGTGGCATGGTATGATATAAATGCAATTTTTACCTATCCAAACTCACCCTGTAATATTTTTTGAAATGTGTACATGAAACTGCTGTAACTAACAGTCAGTAATTCTAACCTATCAGCTCGACCATTACATTAAGGTAACGTATCCTCACCATAGCCACAGTAGACCATAGGCTGCTCCCTCATTAGGGACAGAAAGATGACTGGCAGTGAGTTTAACCTGATGGTCACCATACCTCTTGTCAGGGGAAAGATTGAGAAGGAACTGGGTCGAGATCCAAAATGTCAGCTTTCCTGCTCCTCTGATGCTGCTTGGCCTGCTGTGGTCATCCAGCTCTACACCTTGTTATCTCAGTCATTTGACTAAGATTTTCAAGATGTTAAGGGGAACAGATTCTGTTAAGGACAGAGGAGAGAGGTAAACTGACACTTTCAATTCCCTTCTTTTATGGTTGACATTGGGTCTAGAGGGGCTGGGTTGAGTTGTGCCAAGTTGGGGATTGTTAAGGGTTGTTGTTGGGCCCAATAGGATCGGTCAGGAGGGGGTGCCAAAGTCCAGTGGGTGGGTTGTACTGGCTCAGGTTGGTTCGGGTGGGGGGTGGTATTGGTCAGTTGGGGCACAGATGGGTCAGGGTCAGATGTTAGGTCCAGTGATGGGTGGGAGTGCTGGCATGGTGGGTCTGGTCAGGTAAGTCAGGGGGGGAGATGGTGCCAGGCCCAGTGGATCAGGTTGGTTTCGGGTTGGCATTGTCCAGCTGGACTGGGTGAGGTCAAAGAGGGGTTGGGGCCAGCCGGTTCGGCTGGGTTGAGAGGCTGCGTTTGGTTGCTGGGTGCAAAAGGGGTTGGGTTAGTGGGAGTGGGCTACCAATCTGGTGCATTCAGTCTGTGGGTATGCCAGGTCCAACAGGATTAAATTGGCCAGGTGTTACCAGATCTGGAGAGATTGTGCTGGTTGAGTAGGGAAGAGGTTCTGTGTGCAGTAACATTGGTTCAGGGCAGTAGTAGGTGTCAGCGGTCAGTTGGTGATTCAGGTCAATAGTTACTTCAGAGTTAGAGTAGGCATTTAATCCTGTAATTTTAACTATTAATCTTAAGGGGGTCATAACTTTCTGAATCCTCTGACTCTGAGGGCTATATTCCCTCTATTTCTATTTCTTCTTCATGGAGCTCTGAGATTCTTGTGAGGTGGCGATGCCCAAAACCAGAAGTCATTATTGGGAATGGCTGCCAATCAGCTTGCATTGACCCTCAGAATGGCTGCACGGCCCCATAGCTTAGAGAAGAGCATTGTTTAAGGGACTTTCTTCGAAGGTTCCAGACACAGGGAATTACTGATCAGAATGTTTAACTTCAACACCTTGGAATCAACCTCATTGGGATTTCTGTATGATTCCAGTGTGCAATTCCAGTCTGTACTCCTGCAACGACTCTCCGCCCATTGGAATTTCTTGACTGCATTTACTGACATACTCATCTTAAGTCTAAATGTAATATCAATCACTCAGCATTTGTGTGTTCAAGGGGAAGAAAAAGATACAATTACAGAGTTATAAGCAAAAGAATAGCTCATGTTCATGTGTCTAGCTCATCGGTGGGAAATAGTCTTTGTGGGTATGGTGAAAATTGAAATCTTGAATTGTATTTTAGATGAGTTCAGATAGCTAGTGTCAGATATCAGGATAGTTGCAGAATTCCCTTGAAGAATAAATGTTCAGCAGATTATGAGATTATGCACTTACAATTTACATACAGAAGGTCCAATTTTTTTTGCAATCAAACCTAATTGAGGAATCATGTTGGGATGATTTTGAAAAAGACTTTACATCCTATTGTGTGTAAAAATCAAAGATTAAACTGCCTTTTCTTCTTGAAAAAATTTGTCTTTCTGCAGACTGCATAGGCTTTTTCCAGAGTCTTGGGATAATAGTGGATTTCAGTATCTAAGCCCAAAAATTCAATTCGAGGACCTAATTTAAACACGGTGTAGAATCTGGACACCTTTCCAAGATCCAAAACCAGCTCACCTTAGAAGTAAGAATTGTTAATGAACCTCAACTGGAGCAATTAGACACATTAGACTGAGGAAACAGACATCAAAGGTTTGAGAACTTTACACATTGAGCAACTAATGTTGTAATAGAAATTTACCTAAATTTATCTGATGAAAGCATTGTTCTTTAACAGCCTGTTGAAGTCGTAAAGCTCACCTGACTCTTGACAGCTATTCTAACTATCTTGTGAAAGTCTATTTTAAAATATAAAACATAATTCTAGAAACTCCCTCAAGACGTTAGGACATGTATTGTTAGGACGTGCCTTCCCTGGACATGACATGCATCTGCTACACTGAAAACAAAAGGGAGTTTGATGACATGTTTTTCACATTGCTTTCTTGGTAAAGCAAGAGAAATAGGATCACACATCTTGTAAATTTATTGTACAATCAACACATTAATCTGGCATTTCAACTGCCTGTAACAGTTTTCTACTGGTGTCAGGGCAGGTTTGAAGAAGGCTTGTGTTCAGGACTCTAGCGCCATCTATCCCCATTTTTCCTGTTAAAATTCACGGTTATATATTGTCTCACGGGCTAAGATTTCTATAAACAGTTGCAAATAATGCTTTGCAGACACTACTACTAATAGACATGTGACATCTGGTGAGCACTGGCATTATGGGAGTGTTACGTTTGATTCTGCATTCCCAGAAGGAATTGTATTTCACAATCTGTTAAATAACAATGCTTGTACTATGCAAAATTCTGTTATGACATTAGTTGCTCTTCATGTAAAACTCTTAACCTTTTGATAGCCATTTCTGCAAATCCATGCATCTAATCACTCCAGTTCAGGTCCATTCATAATTCTTATTTTCAACGCGATTGTGAATGGTGACCTGGTTTTAGGTGTCTACAAGATATCTGGATTCACTCAATGCATCTCATCCAATTTGTGCTCTGAAATTGAATTGTTGGTTTGGTGATATTTCCAGTCTGACCTTGACCATTTGATTTTTAGTGGGCATTCCCCAACTGGCGGCCCTTTGTTGTGGTTTTGCCTAATCTGTCACATGTCCTCTGGGGCACAATTGCCTTCAGGTGCTGGTCCAGCTTATACTGTACTCCTTTGACTGTGGGACCCATATCCCTCCCCTATCGTCTGCCAGCCTTGGAAACTCTCTTGGGCCCTAGTTAAATCCTGGAGGAAGGTTTCTGCCAACCACACCTCGGCTGCAGTTCCTTCAACATTTGCTAATTTAACACAATACTTTTACACTCCTCTGGCCCTACTTTCATCCTTTTAATTTAAATCCCAAGTGCTCTAACCTAACACTTGTAAATTCTGCTGTCATTTTAGCCCCTGTCGTCCTTACTGGTTTAATTACCTCACACACTGTAGGAATTTAGGACTTTCAACAGCCCTTGCAGTTGAACAGCATTTTGCTTGTTCCTAACATTACCCCCCTCCCCACCCCCAGCCAGTGCCCCTTGTACTGCTCCACATCTTATGGGCTGCATGTCAAGCTAAGTCACTGCCTAGCAACAGATGCGCTCTTTGCAATGATAAGCTCGGGGTATTATTCAAACATCACTACTCTGTTGACCAATTTACTCCACATGTGAATTCTAGCTAATAGAATTTTCAAACATTATTCTTTTGCCAACACTGTGCTTTGTTCTGCCTTTAGACAGCATCCCTACAACCTTAGCTAAAAGTAGGGTTTGAGGATGGCCAGTGTCCCTGAGGACAGTTTGCTCCTTTTCTCAGGATCCTAGATACAAAAGAAGTAATTGTGCCCTTTGAACAGAAAATCCTTACAGATCTGCTTTTCCTTCCTTAATTCCTTTCTCTGGAGCTTTCTGTTTTATCCACCTCCAAACTATCTCATTAGAACTTGTAAGTGTTACTAAACTAATGTTTATTCTGCGTTAGATGTATATCGGTCAAATTATAGTCGTCTGTTATAATAGTTGCTTTTCTGAAACTCTCATGCAGTTTTTAAGATCATATGAGAGAGTTTTTGAACTTCTCTGACAGGCTTACTTCCCTTAACCATTCATGTATGAGGGCAATTTTGAGTACACATACTTAACAGCTAGATTCGAGCTATTTAATTATTTCAAATTCAAAGATCAACTGGGCTTTTTGTAAGAATTCCTACATTTCTAGGTGCGTATTTCTAGCACTAATTCATAAGCACTCAAAAATGGCACTATTTCTGAGAGAGGTGGGGGAGTGGCATTGCTAGTCAGGGCTAGTATAGCAGCTACTGAAAGGCAGTTCGAGAATGATATGTCTACAGAGTCAGTTTGGGTTGAGGTCAGGAACAAGAAAGGAGCAGTCACTTTGTTGGGGTTATTTTTACAGACCCCCTAATAGTTGCAGAGAAGTGGAGGAGCGGATTGGGAGGCAGATACTGGAAAGGTGCAGAAGTCACAGGGTTGTAGTCATGGGTGACTTCAACTTTCCAAATATTGATTGGAAACATTTTAGTTGTAATAGTTTAGATGGAGAGGATTTTGTCCAGTGCGTTCAGGGAGGATTCCTGACACAGTATGTAGATAGACCAACATGAGGAGAGGCCACTTTGGATTTGGTGCTTGGCAATGAACCGGGCCAAGTGTTAGACCTGTTGATAGGAGAGCATTTTGGTGGTAGCGATCATAACTCTGTTACTTTTACAATAGTCATGGAAAAGGATAGGTACATACAGCAGGGTAAGGTTTATAATTGGGGGAAGGGAAATTACAATTCTGCTAGGCAAGAACTGGGTAACATAAAATGGGAACAGATGCTGTCAGGGAAGAGCACTATTGAAATGTGGAGATTGTTTAAGGAATGCATACTGCGTGTGCTCAATATGTTTGTCCCTAGCAGGCAGGGAAGATGCGGTCGAGTGAGGGAGCCATGGTTCTCAAGAGAGGTCGAACGACTGGTTAAGAGGAAGAAGGATGCTTATGTAAGGTTTAGGAAGCAAGGAACGGAAAAGGCTCTAGAGGGATATAAGTTATCCAGGAAGGAGCTGAAGAAAGGGCTTAGGAGAGCTATAAGGGGGCATGAGAAAACCTTGGCAAATTGGATCAAGGAAAACTCCAAGGCTTTTTACACATACGTGAAGAATAAGAGAATGATCAGGGAAAGGTACGGCCAATCAAGGATTGTAAAGGGAATTTGTGCACGGAGCCTAAAGAGATAGGAGAGGTCCTTAATGAATACTTTTCTTCAGTATTCACAACTGAGAGGGACCTAGTTGTAGAGGAGGACAGTGTGAAACAGGCTGGTAGGCTAGAGGAGGTTGCTGTTAGTAAGGAAGATGTGCTAGGAATTTTGAGGAAGCTGAAGATAGATAAGTCCTCCGGGCCTGATGGGATTTATCCAAGGATTCTATGGGAAGCGAGGGAAGAGATCGCAGGGCCTTTGGCGATGATCTTTTCATCCTCACTGTCTACGGGTATAATCCCGGAAGATTGGAGAGAGGCAAAAGTCATTCCCTTGTTCAAAGAAGGGAATAAGGATAACCCTGGAAATTACAGGCCAGTTAGTCTTATGTCAATGGTGGGCAAATTATTGGAAAGGGCTCTGACAGATAGGATTTACGATCACTTGGAAAGGCACAGTTTGATTCATGATAGTCAGCATGGATTTGTGAGGGGTAGATCATGCCTCACAAACCTTATTGAATTCTTTGAAGAGGTGACCAAACACATGGATGAAGGTAGAGCAGTGGATGTGGTATACATGAATTTAAGTAAGGCATTTGATAAGGTTCCCCATGGTAGGCTCATGCAGAAGGTAAGGAGGCATGGGATAGGGGGAAATGTGGCACAATTCAGAATTCAGAATTGGCTGACCCTTAGAAGATATAGGGTGGTAGTGGACAGAAAATATTCAACATGGTGCTCAGTTACGAGTGCTGTACCACAAGGATCTGTTCTGGGTCCTCTTCTATTTGTGATTTTTGTAAATGATTTGGATGAAGGAGTGGAAGGGTGGATTAGTAAATTCACAGATGATACAAAGGTGGATCGTGTTGTGGACAGTGCGGAGGGCTGTTCTAGGTTACAAAGGGACATTGATAGGATGCAGAGCTGGGCTGAGAAGTGGCAGATGGAGTTTAACCCTGAAAAGTGTGAGGTGATTCAATTTGGATGGACGAACTTCAAAGCAGAATACAGGGTTAATGGAAAGATTCTTGGCAGTGTGGAGGAGCAGAGGGATCTTGGGGTTCATGTCCACAGTTCCCTGAAAGCTGCCACCCAAGTGGATAGAGTTGTTAAGAAGGCGTATGGTATGTTAGCTTTCATTAATAGAGGGATTGAGTTCAAGAGCCGTGAAGTTATGCTCCAGCTATACAAAAGCCTGGTTCAGCCACATCTGGAGTATTGTGTCCAGTTCTGGTCGCCTCATTACAGAAAAGATGTGAAAGCATTGGAAAAGGTGCAGAGGAAATTTACCAGGATGTTGCCTAGAATGGAGGGAAGGTCTTACGAGGAAAGCTTGAGAGAGCTAGGGCTTTTCTCTTTAGAACGACAAAGGATAAGAGGTGACTTAATAGAGGTGTACAAAATGATCAGAGGTATAGATAGAGTAGACAGCCAGAGACTTTTTCCTAGGGTGAGGTAGCTATTACGAAGGGGCATAGTTTTAAAGTGAGTGGAGGTAGATATAGGGGAGACGTCAGAGGTAGGTTCTTTACTCAGAGAGTGGTCGGGGTGTGGAATGCATTGCCGGAGAGGGTAGTGGAGTCGGCCACATTAGGGGCATTTAAGCGGCTATTAGATAGGCATATGGATGATAGTATAAGGTAAGGGTGGGGGTTAGATAGACCCTAGGATTAGGGTAAAAGTTCGGCACAACATAGTGGGCCGAAGGGCCTGTATTGTGCTGTACTGTTCTATGTTCTATATTTCCTTGTTCCTAGTTTGTGAACCTGTCTGAAGGCAGCAGCAGCTAAAACATTTGGACTTTCCTCATTCGACTAGCTTTTAGCAATAGCACAAGCTCTTTAAGGGGATGGCCATGTGTATTATTGCTAAACTATTAATTCAAAAACTTAGCTAATGTTCTGGGATCCTGGGTTCGAATCCACGCCACAGATGGTGGAATTTGAATTCAATTTTAAAAATCTGGAATTAAGAACCTACTGATGACCATGAAATTATTGCCAATTGTCAGAAAAATCTATCTGGCTCATGAATGCCCTTCAGAGATTTGTGTGGCATGGAAGTTACTTGCCATTTGTCAGACCAAGCCTAGATATTGTCCAGCCTTGTTTTCCATCTGAACATGGCCTGCTTCAGTATCTGAGGAGTTGCAAATGCTGCTGAACATCCCCATTTCTGTCCTTATGATGGAGGGAAGGTCATTGACAAAGTAGCTGGAAATGATTGGGCCTAGGACACTACTCCAAGGAACTCCTGCAGAGATGTCCTGCAGCTGAGATGACTGACGTCCAATAATCAGAGGCTAGGAATACTGCAGTGAGTGACTTACCTCCTGACTTCACAAAGCCTGTCCACCATCTACAACGCACAAGTCAGGAATGTGCTGGAATACTCCCCACTTGCCTGGATGTGTGTAACTCCAGCAACACTCAAGAAACTTGACACTATCCAGCACAAAGCAGCTCGCTTGATTAGCACCACATCTACAAACATCCACTTGCTCTATCACTGACACTCAGTAGTACCAGTGTGTACTATTTACAAGATGCACTGCAGAAATTTACTAAAGATCCTTAGACAGCACCTTCCAAACCCACAACCACTTCCATCTAGAAAGACAAGGCGGCAGATACATGGGAACACTACAAGATGCAAGTTCCCCTCCTTACCATCCTGACATGGAAATATATCACTGTTCCTTCAGTGTCGCTGGGTCAAAATCCTCCTTAAGGGCTTTGTGGGTCAACCTATAGCACATGGACTGGAGTGGTTCAAGAAGGCAGCTCACCATCACCTTCTCAAGGGCAATTATGGACAGGCAATAAACCTTGGCCAGCAAGAGTGCAAGAGTGAATAAAACTAAATAATACTGACCTTCCATTAGGAGAGTCCAGAAATCTACTCACCCCTTTATTGGGTCGGCTATCTTCTCGAGGGCTGTGAAGGGTTCAACATCAGCATCTTCAAACTTAATTATTAATCAGGAATACTTCCAGAAATGAAAGCTTGCCTCTGAGCCAATCAGGTTATTTGAGTTACCAGCTGTGTTATCACCAGGAAAAGACAATATCTCCGCAGTTGTTTCAATCTGTCTTAATTCTCTGATCCTTTAAGCTTGCAATTCCTTTTCAAGTTCCTCCCCTTCCTTCTGGGACTCCCCTTCACTCTCTTTCACCTGTAATTTTAACTCCAACCTCTGGGTGAATTTTGGATAAGGTAAGCTGATCTGCTTCCAGATCTACATCTTCTGCACGATTTCAAATGAGGGAAGGATGCTCTATTTGCACCTGTAGCACTTCAAGCCTTTTTGTTTTTTGTTTTACGCTAAATTTTACCTGCATTGCTCTTACTTTAAGCTGTTTGGTGGTTGGGGTTCCAATTTATGCCAAGTTGAGTCCTTCTGTTCAATGAACAATTTGGTATCCAAACTAGCTATGCTACTTTCAGGTTTTGCATGAAATTTGCATTTGTAGTCTTTTTGCTTTAAATACACAATGTCAGCTCTTGAACTTTACTTCTTGGTTTCCAATTTTTTCCTTTATTGTCAGATTTCGCTTGCTTTTAGTCCAACTGTTTCAAATTCCAGACAAGCCCCGAATACAGCTGTGGACAGCAGAGAGAGGTAAAGTGAAAGCTCTAACTCCCTTTCCTTACAGCTCAACCAGGGTGGATTGTTTGGATCAACATATGTGCGTATTTTTAAGCACTTACTTGTGTGTGAGCAATTTAAAGTGAATAGAGCACAAATAGTCTATTTGTCACATTTCCAGTTTGTTATAGGGAAATAGTGTTTTCAGGTCTGGTGAAGGACAAAGTTTCTTGAATTATAATATAATTGAGCTCAGGTAAATGGTATCAGATATCAGGACTGTTGCAGGACCTCCTCAAAGAGATGAGTCAGAAGATCATGATGTTATTGACTTGTGACTTGTATCTATTTTTTGAAATGGACCTGGGTTTAGGAATCGGGCTGGGAGGCTTATTTTAAAGATTCCATAAACCCCAGGGGTGGAATATTCCCAGATCCTGAGCAACATAGACTATAGCAAAAAATTTGAGTGAATCATGTGAGAAATTGAGTGAGCCCCTTCTCAATTAAGTTGTATTTTCCAAATATGTTCCAAATGTCGAGACAAGATTCTCACTGGTGAGTGGCCTAACAACTAGGATAATCATTCATCACCTTCATTATGACTAAATCTTGCCCTATTAATATACACTGTCTTATTCTGTCTGCTGGATAGAATCTAGGCATTGGGAATTCCTGACTTGAAAATCTGGGCAGTGCCTGGTGACTCCAGCTTGCTGTTTGCACCTCCAGACTTCTATCTTGGATACACAGAGTCATAGATTCATACAGCATAATTCTTTGAAGTTTGCATCACATATAGACAAGGTGGTTAAGAAGGCATTTAGCGTGCTTGCCTTTATTGCTCTGAACTTTGAGTACAGGAGTTGGGAATTATGTTCAGGTTGTGCAGGATGTTGGTGAGGTCTCTTCTGGAGTATTGTGTCCAGTTCTGGTCCCTTTGGTCCAACCATAGTCCCAAACTAAACAAGTTCCACCTGTCTTTGTTTGGCCCATATCCTTCCAAACATTTCTTATTCATGTACTTGTCTAAATGTCTTTTAAACACTGTAACTGTACCCATACCTACTACTTCCTCTGAAATTTCATTCCACTTATGAGCCACTCTGCGTAAAAAAACTTGTCCCTCATGTCTTTTTTAAATCTTTCTCCTCTCACCTTAAAAATATACTGCCTAGTCTTGAAATCCCCAACCCTAGGGAAAAGACACCCATCATTCCCCTTATCTATACCCCTCATTATTTTATAAAACCTCTATAAGGTCATGTCTCAACTTCCTAAGCTGCAGAGAAAAAAAATCCCAGTCTAACCAGCCTCTCGTTATAACTCAAACATCCATTCCTGGCAACATCATGGTAAATCTGAACTTTCTCTGGCTTAACAATGTCCTTCGTACAACAGGGAGACCTGAACTAGACACAGTATTCCAGAAGAGGCCTCACCAACATCCTGTACAACCTCAACATAATGTCCCAACTCCTATACTCAAAGGTCTGAACACTACAGGCAAGCATGCTAAATGCCTTCTTAACTACCCTGTCTATATGTGATGCAAACTTCAAAGAGGTTGGTTGGCTCGCTGAGCTGGTTTCTTGTTTCGCAGATGTTTTGTTACCATACTTGGTAATGTCCTCAGTGCAGCCTCTGATGAAGCATCGGTGTGTTTTCCTGCTTGGTTTTTAAACTCTGGGGTCCGTTGAGCTGGATTGCCTCACTTCCGGTTTTCCTTCGTAGTGGAACGTATATGGGATCGAGTTCGATGTGATTATTAATAGCATGCTTCGTGGAGTGCCATGCTTCTAGGGATTCTTGTGCCTGTCTCTGCCTAGCCTGTCCCAGGATCTTGGTGTTGTCCCAGTTGAAGTGGTGGTTTTCCTTGTCCATGTGGATTGAGATGAGTGAATATTGGTCATGTCTTTTTGTAGCCAGTTGGTGTTCATGTCCTCTTGTTGTTAGTTTCCTTCCTGTTTGTCCAAAGTAGTGTTTCTTGCAGTCTCCGCAGGGAATCTTGTAGATGACATTGGTCCTGTCCATGGCGGGGAGTGGGTCCTTAGTTCGGGTGAACAGTTCTCGTAGGGTTGACGTGGGCTTGTGTGCCTCTCTGATGCCCAGCGGTCGTAGGAGTCTTGTGGTGAGTTCTGACTTGGTTCTGATATAGGGTAGTGTGATGAGTGTGTCGGGGCGTGCAGTCTACAGGAAGCTGCACTGAGGATGTTACCAAACATGGTAACAAAATGTCTGTGAAACAAGAAACCAGCTCGGCGAGCCAACCAACCTCAACACCCACAACCCGAGCTACAAATCTACTCCCAAACCTTAGAAACATCAAAGAATTATGTATCTGAACACCTCAGTCTTTTTTGTTCTACAACACTAACCAAGGCCCTACTTTTAATTGTATACATCTTGCCTGGTCTTGGTTTTAGGGCACACTTTGTGACCTGTGACAGCATGTATCCACTGTAAGAACATAACAAATAGGAGCAGAAATAGGCCACCAGGCCCATCAAGCCTGTTGCATCCATGGACATTGACATCTGTCACATACCATCTCTCCGTGCCATCATGGCAAATTGCTGATCCATTTGCTGTACACTTCTGCACTGCCATGCTCACTTCAGTACAGACTGGCAACTATCATTGGAACAATGATGCAAGGACACTTTGTGTAGAGGGACAGGTACCCAGTTCATGGATTAGACCAGGCTGGTTCTTGGGGCTGCTTCCTTGCTCTGTTGGTGCTCCCATCTGAATGCTCGAAGTGTCACTGCCTTGCTGTGCCTTTTAGCCTTTTACTTCATCAGCTGTGATTTAAAGGCCCACATTATTTCCAAATTGCCTTGCTGTTTAGTGCAAACACAGAGTCAGGCAGCTTATGACACTTGTCATCAGTCAAGGTGGTTCACATGTTGTTGCACGAGACAGTGCCATGTCAATCTCATACTTACAGCACATGCCATCAGCCTACAGGACATAACGACTGCACATGCATTAACCAAAATGATTATGTCTCAAACTCGGGGGGTGGGGGGGCGGGGGCGTACTCCTCTGTTACGCAAGAGGGGCTGCTGGCACTCAGGGGTTTTGGTGCGCTCAGTCAGGGGCAGGGTCTCTGATTGGCCCAGGGGCTTGGGCATGGTCAGGCATCGCTTGTCTGGTTCCAGGTCTGATACACTACAATCCAAGGAGTGGGCCACGGTCAGTCATTGCAGGTGAAGTGCAACAAACGAGGGGATCGGCAGATCATCAGTCGGAGAAATGCATCAGTCAGGGGTCTGATCAGTCATTACTTGGGGCTGTCAATCTAGGTCAGTCAGGGGGGTGGAGCACACACAGTCCTGGGAGTCACTCGAATGAAGGGAGTGGGTATTAGTGAACATTTTGGTGGTCAGGCCTTGGGGGACTCCATGCTGGAACCAGAAGCAGTCACCTGGAATGGGAAGGGTACAATAATGGTAAAGGGGATATTCAGCAATATAATGGGAACAGGGTTCAAGCCCCACTTGCCCTAGAGGAGTGTAATAACATCTCTGAGCAGGTTGATTTGGCAGTATCTAAAGCGGGCAAACTGGTAGTGTACGTGAGGATATGGATGCTGTAGGAGAAAGGGCTGATAGCTGGGTCACATGAGGGCTGTGCAGCATGATGTTGGACAATGATCAAACTGTAATGACAGGCTCAGGGGGGATAACTGTGAGAATTGGAGTTATAGTTTGATGTAATGAGGGAGAACATGCAGCGTTCAGTAGGGATGGGCTGTTGAGGGAATGCTCAGTAGAAAGGGAAATGGATCTGATATTCAGGCTATGTCTGAAACTCAGAGTATTGATCATTGCCTTCTGTAGTCTGTTCCCAGCATATGGGCAGTCAAACAGCTAAGAAGAAACGGCACTCATCACCACTTTCTCAAGGGTGATTAGGGACAAACAATAAAGTTGAGACAAACATTTTCCTTCAGGGAAAAGACTAGAAATTCTCTGCCATTTATCTAAGCTATAATTAAAATTAGGAGCTATATTACTAGCACATTCGTTGATAGAAAACAAATATCCAATAGTGTGAATTAAGGAAACGCTCTGGTTGTAAAGCCAAGACAATAATGATGACCAAAACATGTGGATTTGTTTTTCCACATGCTCTGCTGAAGATGGCTTCCAGAGGGAGCTGTTGTGTGAAAAACAAGCTCTGCCTGTTGAGAGTGCTTTGTATCTGCCAAGGCAATTTACTCCGTTATCAAATCGTGTCAACTTACAGACATGGATTACTCCAGCTTGTCCAAATGAAACAACTGGTTAGACAAAAGAAAGACTTTCACCATTCCGTATGGAAGGTTCAAAGGTTAATGCTCTGCATCTCCACCACTGCGGCTAATAGTTCTTCAGTACAGTTGGTTCTGCTATAACGCGTGCTTCGGCAATGCAAATTGGCTATAACGCAACTGGCGAATAAAGAAAACGCGAACTTGTGTTGGCTATAATGCGATTCCATTGGTGTGTGGAGGAGTACGCATTGACATCACATGATCGTTTCGTGGGCTTTGTCCTGAGCATGCTCAATGTTAGTGCCGAAACAGTCTCCATACTGGCGTCAAGCCAGTAGAAATCTATTAGCACCTAACTCAAAAGAAATTTAATTTAAATAGTTGAAGCCTGTCTTTCTGCTGAGGGCATGTCCATAATTAACATATGGTTTTAGTTACAGCATTGAACGCCAGAAGAACAGGGTCAGATCTGTATTACATATTGATTGAGCTCACATACCAGCAGCCCCTTACATCGATATGCACGTCAATGCCCTCAAAATATCTGTCATTACCTGCAAATATGTGCACACATGCCACAAACTGACATGAGCCAGAATTTTATTAACATGGCCTGCACATCTATCTTCACTAATTACATACATAAGACCTGTCTATTATGTGGGGTATCAATGAGTCAGATCAAATACCCAAGATCTGTGAAACAAACAGATTTATACAGACATCATTAGACAATGACCAGCATATAGCACACACAACAATTTGTGGCTAAAGAAGATGGTAGATCCGATTGGATGACTCCCTGAGCAGACTGTCTCATCATCAGAACTTACAAACAAGTACCAAGCTACAACTTGACTGATGCAAGATCCTTCCTACAAGCACGCTGCCCTTGAACTGACTTGGTTGGGCATGGAGCTATTGTCCACCTACTTATGAAACATGCCTTTGTAGAGAATGTCTGAAGATGCAGTGAGTTTTGTTGAGGTTCATCCTGAGCAGCTCCATGACACAAGGATTTGTACTCTATGGACCGTCCCCAGGAATTCACACCAAAACAAACATCAACTGTGCCAGGAGGACCATCAAATCAGTGAAAGATGCTCTTTGTTCTGCCCATAACTTGCTGGTCTTCTAATGTACAGAGTTGTCCTCAACTGAACGGTGAAGACCAGCACATGCCAAGGTCAGGACTTTGTGCTGTGTGACTCACTAAAGCTTGGGGGGAGTCCTGGTAGAGGCACACGGGGGACAGGTCACTCTCTGAGGCCTTAAGACCGAGCACTGTGCATCTCAGAATGTTTAGTGTGAGAGTATCAAAAAAAATTGGAAGAATCTCAGAGTGAAACATGTTGCATAGAGATCTTTGTACCAATGGCATTTTCCATATTTTGCACTTTGAAATATTTTGGCCTAGGCCTGCATACCTGATATGGAATGTATTTGTTAATTATGAAGAATATTAAAAATGTACTTGTTGAAATTGCTTGAAAATCTTACAATATACAAATGGATATTTTGCATATGAATTTTATAAATAAAATGTATTTTTGAAAAAAAAACATGTAGACGACAGGGACTTGCCCTTAACAAGAGAACAAAAATATGTAGTCCAAAGTGGAAGTATTGTATGTGCTGGGGCTCAGCAGGGACAGCTTATCGGACTCTCCTGGGCAGCAATATTTCATACCGAGTGATTTTATTTTTCCCCCACAAAATTGAAAGAGCTCTGGTTCCTATACAAACATTTCAAGGATTGAAATGGAACACAACAATTTCATGAACTCTTTACAGTAAATTGCTTCAAAAGGCACTATTACTACAGTAAAGCCCAATGGCAAAGTCCTTCAAGGACAAACCTTTAAGGTTTTGGAGGATGTGTTCTAGCTCCTGGAGGACCTTGAAAAAGGAAGAGACCAATATGAATACAACTGTACAATTTACATTGTCAAAAACAAAGCCAGCATTTCTATAGCAGTTAATGTGTAAACAGTTGACTAGTTCTTCATAAGGTTCACCATTTGACAAAAAAAAAGTGTATTCCAGAGTCAATTATTTCTTGAAGGATTTCATAAGTAACAGTTGAGGGGCAGATAGGAAAGGTGATACTGTTACTGCAATAGGGCAGACCACAAATAAAACCAAGTGAAGCTACCATTGATCTAGACAAGATTGCAACATTGAAGAAGGGAAATGTGAGCTACCATGGGAGAAGCTGCAAACGCATCGAGGAGAAATAATGCACCATATTCACAAGGGTCAAACTGTATCGTTTTAACTTTGGTTGGGACTGTTGTGGAAATGGAATCCAAATGGGAGAGGTTTAAACAGGGAGCTAGAGAAAAAAAAATGGGCAGCTTAAGATGCAACTATACATTCATGGTGTGGCGGAAACAAATGTAGGAAGTGGATTGAGTGGCGAAGGAGGTGTGTGTGTGTTTCTTTTCCCCGCAAAAGGGAGTTTCATGATAGCCAGCAGTGTGTACCAATAACAGTGATGTAGAGGTGCTGGTGTTGGGCTGGGGTGGACAATGTCAAAAGTCACATGACACCAGGTTATAGTCCAACAGGTTTATTTGAAATCACAAGCTTTTGGAGTGCTGCCCCTTCACCTGATGAAGCAGCAGTGTTCTAAAAGCTTGTGATTTCAAATAAACTGTTGGACTATAACCTGGTGTCGCGTGACTTTTGACCTTAACCAATAATTGTGCTATGGAGTGAGAATATGATAAGGCAAATGGTTTGCAGATTTCATTGGTAAGTTGAGCCTGGAGAGGACACGAGGCAGATAGAGAAGAGAAAAGCAATTTCAGAACTCAGGCAAAAGGAAATGAGAATCAGCAACAAAGATGACTGAACATGATAACAATCTTGGGGTTAGTCAGCATAGCTATGCATGTGGGAAATCGTGTCTCACAAACTTGATAGAGTTTTTTGAAGAAGTGACCAAGAAGGCAGATGAAGGCAGGGCAGTAGACGTTGTTTACATGGACTTTAACAAGGCCTTCAACAAGGTTCCACATGGTACACTGGTTAGTAGGATTAGGTCACATGGAATCCAGGGAGAGTTAACCAATTGGATGCAAAGTTGGCTTGACAGTGGATCCACTGTTGTTTGTCATTGATATGTATGATTTGGATGAGAATAATTGTAGGCATGACTAGTAAGATTACAGATTACACCAAAATTCGTGTACAGTGAGGAAGGTTATCTAAGAATACAACAAGATCTTGATCAGCTAGGCCAATGAGCCGAAGAGTGGCGTATGAAGTTTAATTTACATACATGTGAAATGTTGCATTTTGGTAAGACAAACCATTTAGACAGTAGGGCCCTGGGGAGTGTTGTCAAACACAGAGACCTAGGGGTACAAGCACATCCTTGAAAGCGGCATCACAGATAGACAAAGTGGCAAAGAAAGCATTCGGCTTGCTTGCCTTTATTGGTCAGAGCACCGAGTATAGGAGTTGGGATGTCATGTTGTGGCTGTCCAAGACACTGGTGAGGCCACTTTTGGAGTACTGTGTACAATTCTGGTCTCCCTGTTATAAGAAGGATGTTATTAAACTAGAAAGGACACAGAAAAGATTTACAAGGATGTTACTGGAGGACTAGAGTTAATGAGGAGAGACTCGATAGGCTGGGACTTCTGTCCCTGAAGTGTCAGAGGCTGAGGGGTGACCCTGTAGAGGTTTATAAAATCATGAGAGGTATAGATAAGATGAATAGCAAAGGCTTTTACCCCAAGGTAGGAGAGTTCAAAACTAGAGGGCATAGGTTTAAAGTGAGAGGGGAAAAGATTTAAAAGGGACTCAAGAGGCAACTTTTTCACACAGGGGATGGTGCGTACGTGGAACGAGCTACCAGAGGAAGTGTGGAGGTGAATACAGTTATAACAGTTAAAAGTCATTTGGACAAGTAGATGAGTAGAAAAAGGTTTAGAAGGCTATGGGCCAAATGCAGGCAAATGGGACTAATTCAGTTTAGGAAACCTGGTCGGCATAGGCGAGTTGGACCGAAGAGTCTGCATCTGTGCTGAATGACTCAATTAATAACTCATGAACACAACTAATACTGAGAACAGTAGGAAAATATCAGGCACAAATATCTCAATAAAGTGAAGTCTCACAAATTACACCTCTGATACAGGAGCATACAATGAGAAAATCAAACCCTTCCAAACTATATTGAACAGCCTCAGAGGAGGAATGTGCATATCAAAGTCAAATGCTAGTTATACACTTACCTCTCATCCTTGGCATCATTGGTGGTCTCATTCCTGGAGGAACTCCCATGGGAGTTACTCTGCCTGAAGGCATCCCAATTGTTGGTGGTCCAAATGGAAGTCTCATGCCAGGCGGTGGTCTCATAAAGCCTGGAATATGGAGATTGATGGGATGTTGGCAATTTGCAGTGTTCAACACTGGAATACCTCTTGCTCTAACTTTTTGTTCCATCATTTTATTCTGCCTCAGCAACATTCACTAACACAGCAGACAAGCAACTATGGTCAATATTGCCCTTAAACCTGCACAAGTATGCAGAAGGAAACATCTTCCCTCATTATGCTCAACATATTCAACTACAAGGAAAAATAAAACTACAGGATCTCTAAACATTGAAGCATTAAAACAAAAGATAAAAATGAAAAACATGGATACACCTGCATGTCCTGATCCAATTTTCTCTCTATATTTAAAGTCACTTCATATGAAGATGAAAGACTTGTCAGTCATCCCAGCACTATATTTTATTTTTCTTAGTTATGCATGGGATGTGGGCATCACAGGGTCAGATCAACATTTATTGCACATCTCCAACAGTTAAAAATCAACAACACTGCTGTCAGGCTGGGGTCACGTGTAGTCCAGACCAGGAAAAAATGGCAGATTTCCTTCCCTAAAGGACATTACTGAGTCAGACTTCTTTATATGATAATTGACAGTGGTTAATGGCTGCCATTAGACTAGTTTTTAATTCCAGATTTCAAATTTCACCTACTACCAAGGTGGAATTCGAAACAGTCTATAGAACATTAGCCTGGGGTTTTGCATAAATGGCCCAATGGCATTAGCACTACAATACCACCTATCCCATTGCACATGGAATGTCTATTCCACAAGGAGTGGTCAAAGTTACATATATTGTACACTGCACTATCCTGGAGCTAAAAATAAAAGTGGTGGAAATGCTCAGGACATTTCGTAGGAGAGAGAAAGGAAGAAACAAACATTTTCCAGTATTTGCAGCATTTTGCTTTTTTGTACTATTTAGCCATCTGGTCATAATGGAGAATAATAATCATTCAGCATTACATTTTGTAAACTCAATTCAGGAATTTCAACTATTTGAATTTGGAATGCTGTACTCAATTGCAAGTTTGGCAAGAGGGATGGTGATAAATAAATGTCATTTTGCCTACTAGAATGAGCCAAATTGACTGGCACATAACATTGCAATGACACTGTTAACAGGAATGGTTAACAATGTAAAAAAAAAGTTGGAATGTAATTTTAGAAATTGTTATGACTAGAGAGATCATTATGGCCCATGGCTTGGTGCAGAGCTCTAAGCTCAAATGTTGCAACACTTCCACTCCGAATTAGGATAGGAGAACTTGTTTGGGTGTAATTTTTAGATTATTACCCAGTCAATAGAGTTGACAGACAAGATTATTTTTCCTTCAGGGCATCCAGGTAGGTTCTCCAACAAGCAGACAATCCATTCAATACCAGATTACCACTCAGGCAGAGTCCATCTTGCAAGTTTAAAATATGAATTGAACAAATGCATATTCACAATGGTCTCCAAGTCTTGCCCAGGTCAGATGTTGACGGTATCAAACACTGGTGGTCAGTGTCATGGTCAAATACATATTAACCTACCTGGCCTTGGCTCACCAAGAACCGGAGGAGCTCCCCTCATTGGTGCATAAGGTTGTGGGACAGCAGAAAAGCTAGGAGTAGATGCAATTCCAGTTCCTCTTGTCTGAGGGGCCATTTCCTAAACAAAGTGCATAAAATACAATTTTGTACATCTACAATGCATAGATTAACCACTTACTGTTGACAAAAATGATCATATATTGACCAACAACCTGCAGTGATTGGCTTTCAAAATGCTACCCGTCTTTAAATAGAACAAATTTGCATCAATATCCTTCACAAACTCTGCAGGTGGAAAGACTTCGCAGTCAATAGTTTCCTTTTAATATGTAGTTATTGATGCATGGCAGCCAATTTATGGACAGTAATGTATTTAAACTGGGATAAATAACCAAATCATCAGTTTTCATATGTTGAAGTGATTGGCCAGAGTACTACAGAGAATTCCTATGCTCTTCAAAATAGCGATGAGATTTTTTTTCAAAACGCCCATAGAGGGGAAAGACAGGAGTGGTGAATTTAAGACTCATTTAAATAACAACACGATCAACAGTTCAGCACTCCTACACTGTAACATCACCCTTGATCTGTGCTCACGCCTGTGGACTGTGGGTAGAACTCACAACCTACTGACTCAAGGACAGATGGAGTGCTACCAACTGAGTCATAGGAGATGCCCATTTTAAAAACACTTACCACAGAGGTAAAAATTTCCATTCACTTGACCCTCATGTATGCTTTGTGCCAATAAATATGCAAAATCCTATAAATTAGAATGTTTTGTGTATCACATGCAGAATGTAACAAAAATTCACCTTTATGTGAAAATCCAGAGCAGGGTCTGAATGCATGATCTTGCATCTTATGAAATGGGGGTGTTATCATGAAGCCAAGCATTGCATAATTCTTTTTAACCCAATATGTATAATTGGTCTTTATATATCAATCTTGTTCTGTAAATCATAGGTTGAAAATCAATTTCTCAATTGCTAGTCTACTACCTTTCTGGGAACATTTCTTGGAGCTACATGATAATACTAATTTCTTTTACAGAAAAGAGAGATGCATAATTCAACAATAATCAAATAACTTCTTGTAACTTGATGAAAATGTAGAACATTCTCAAAAAAACTTTAGCATCCTTTGGAGGAAATTTACTAATTTTATTCTTACAATTCAGTTAGCAGTTCAAAACAAAAAGATCATCATCTTACAGTCAATACTGGGAATTCTTGAAAGGTATGGAGTGAGTTTCTAAATTCCATATCAGATGGCAGGAATGTAATCAGTTCACACAATGGGAGCAAAATTTAATTTTTTTTAGGAAGATGAGCAGATTGAGATGACTAACTAATGGAAAGAAAAAATAAAAAGGGGGAAGCATTTAATGGACAGCCAAATTAATACCATCCATAGCTCTGAAGTTGAAATTCATCCCCCTCCTCCAAATCAGTATATCAAGACCTGCACTAATCAGAAAGTACCAATTTGCCAGTTGTCACTGGCAATCCCTCTAGTTATTTTTTTTCTGCTGCAGGGACTTCTGAGGTCTATGGGCAGCAGGGATTCTGAAACCAAAGTTAATGCTGGGAGAAGTGTCACCATTAAAATTGGTGTGCACGGAACCTCTGAGCAGCTGAATTGCTGTGCCGTTTAGAAGGAATGTTAGCTGTCATCATTGCATTCAAAATACCAACTTATGGCAATATGTATTGCTTTTACAGCGCAGCAAGGAAAATCGCCAGCCATTTAACTGCTGCAAAGGCAGATTAAAACACAGCAAGCAGAGTTCCTGCCTTTTAAAGAGGGGCAGGAGTAGAGAAAGGACTGGCTTAAGAAATCCCATGCTGACCCTGACAGATGACATCCTGTGGTCTAGCAAATTCTCTTGTCCAATAAAGGCCTGATCCTTTAGGGATTAGGAAGGAACAACCACATCTGACCTAAAATGTGTGTTTAGAAATAAAGTAGTCAGTGGTTCACCCTTACCTGCTGTGAAGGACCTCCAACACCTCTTACTGGTCCCATTAGTCCTGCAGGTACCTGAGCCATTGGTATGCCGGGTGGCATCCCTCTCCCTGCTGCTCTACCAACACCAGGGCCACCTACAGGGACTCTTGAAATGCCAACCTGTGCATTAACATTAAAAAAAGAGTATTGGAGAATGTTAATCCCCAGAAAATAAACAATTTGAGTATAATAAATTCAGAAATTCAAATTAGAAAGCCATCATCCGTACTTGGTTACTCCCACTAGAGCCCAAAGTTTTAATTGCAGTCTATCTTGGGTCTCTCGGACATAAACATAACTCAATAAAAATGGGCCGTTCAGCTGCTTTGAATTCCTTACATTCATATTCCTCCAAAGGTGGGATGGAATGTGTTGGATACGTTCCATATCTTTGACATCTTTAACTGGAATCAGTTGAAGCATCAGATACCAAAAAACCCTCCTTCAATGAGGATTATCTCACACAACACACACTCACTACCTATAGTGACCTTACAAATTACAACAATGCATTTAAAACTTCTGGTCTTAAGTAGCCCAATAGGTGGAACAAGTATGAAATAAAACAGGTTTACTGGGAAAGTGCAGCAAGTCAGGCGTGGAGAGAAATAAAGTTAGTTTCAGGCTGATGATCTTTGATCAGAGCAGCCATGTTGCTCTGCTGCACAATTACGGACTTTCATTTACTTTGGTACCTTTCCACATTCAGAAATATTCAAATGGAAACAAACTTATTTGATGGATTTGTTCAGGGTGCAGTGACTATCAAAAACATGTTGATCACGCACAGCAAGATACCACAAACTCAGCGTTGTTTAGCAAAACACATGCAGCCAATGTTTTATTTTCGTATTTTTCTGACATGCTGACACTTCTGTAAAGTAAGAAACATGGTATCCAATTTGTACATAGCAGGATCCCAGAAATGAGAAAATGACACACGGCATTTTCAGATGTTAGTTAAGAGATAAATATTGTTTGGGAAACATTGGGAGAACTTCCATGCTTATAACAACTTGGCATCTTTCATGTCCATCAAGGGGAAGAAATGGCTTTGGTTTAACTTTGTATCTAAACAGACAAAATATCTGATGTTATTTACAGATCCATGCAGGACTGATAGAACATCTTTGAGTAGGGCTTGAACCTTTGACCATCTAAAATGAGATGAGTACCACTACTGAGGACAGCACAGCAAAACAGGTTATCTGCTTTATGTTGTATCCAATGTCAACACTGTTATGTATTAAAATATTATTTTATATTATTTATTAACATCTAATAAATTACAGAAGTAATAAATCAATGTATTTTCTTAATATTATTTCTTAAAATCACAACTATGCAAGTTTTCTAATTACTGACCACTTTGTTATTGGAAATATCTCCCACTGCCACAAAAAAGTATCAAAATTCCATTTTTTTCCCAGCGACAACTGGAATGACATTGTACTCTGTTTAAATTCCGGGCAATAAATGTGAAGTCTTTCAAACACGTCAGCTACCTACATGGGTACATGCACAGCTAATTTTGGAAACATGGGAGTCAGAAAGATCCTAGCACAGCATTAGGTTTTGTAAAATTGCAGATTTAACTGCATTTAATATCTGAGCATCTGAAACTGTATTCTATTTTGTCAAATTAACTTTGCACCTTCCCTGCCCCTCACCCAGTCCATTCCCCCAGCACACTAACTTATTCAAGGCAGTACAGAATGCCACAAGGCAAACTATCAAGGACAAGCTTACAGCCATAAGATATTTCACAAAATAACAAATTGTATAAAGGAATGCCTTACTGAAAAAATACTTGTTACTGGTGATACTGTTGCATACAGTGCAACATTTGTAGGAGGATAAGTATAACCAAGTAAAGGCATTGTTCAACTCATGAGACATTACCCTCTAGATTACAGGACCTTATGAAATTGCCCATTCTTATACTCGAGTCAGCTCTTCCCACAGTGCAGTTTTCCAGAGTTCCAGTGTTATCCAGAGTTAACAGTGTAGTGTAGTGTAATCAACATGATCTCCAGCAGAAGACATTTACTACCTTGATGCAGACACAGAGCGAAATTTACCCAACTATGTCCAATTAGAAAATTCTGTGCCCAAAACATTCTTAATATCTTGCTCAGCTGGGCAGGCACTTAGATCATTCTTGACTCATCCATATCAGACATCCATATTTAGAACAATTTCCATATAAAACCAGATTTAAAAAAAATAATCATTGTTAATTGCGAAGGAGCCAAGGATCATGTTTACCCTAGAACGCAGTCAAGATATCCCACCAAAACAAGACATCTGTGCAGGAAAGTAAAATGCTTAATGTGCTGCAAAGTAAAAATCAAATTTCTTTACTATTTACTTCTTCTTTACAAATTACTCCATGGCCTTCCCAACTTATTACTCAAATGTCCCACAATTCTTTCATAACACTTTGCTCCCCTGACCCCAAGATTTTGCTTCACTCCATTGCTGGCTACTTATCTCTACACTTTCATACACCAAATCTTCAATCAGAATATTGAAAACATTAACTCACACTCTGAATAG